AAGTTCCTTCTCAGAAGCTTGCCTCACTGGCTTGGCTACAGTCCCACCTCATGGTTCCCACAGCCAACTGGCTGCAGGACCGTCGAATGGACGTAATACCAAATGTGACAGATGCCCAGAGCCGATAAAGTCCATGCAACATCACGGTGGGACTGTCCGATCTCAAATAAGTGGTGGAAGTGGTGGGAGCGGCACTGGATAGCCTTCTCTGACAAAAGGAATCTGATGGAGTCTTGCCGCCGGATGTCTCAGGCAACAAAGGATGGGAATACGTAGCCCAAGTGGCCAGACTGGCAATCCTCTGGATAATCTGGCTGGACAGGAATGGAAGGCGATTTCAGGGCGAACCACTCCAAGATTCACATGCGGGAAAAATAGTCAGGCGCCTCATTGGACCCAGATCAGGGCCGATTGGACTCGGAAAGTTCAGTGAGGCGATACAAGGGCTGGCTTGAAGGGGTTTGGGGAAACATGGACCCTGGGAGGGCGCTTGCCCAAGATCTCTTCACAGGGACGATTGGAGATCACCAGTTGGCTGAGATGAAAATCTGGGGTAACAAAAGACTAAGGTTAAGGGGAGGTAGGAGTCGTGGAATTTGTTCAGGTAACGGGAAAAGGGGTAGGATGGTACTTTTTGGATTGAATGGTTTTTATGCCTTGTGGATGTTTGGTTTATGAACCAGGTGCACCCGGTTCCAGTCGGCGATCACAGTAGATTGTACAGGGTAGGGAGGGATGGAGAGTGCCATTACTGCAAAATGGAACAGGAGTTCCTCCCGGCTGAAGTAGGCCGAGTCCAGACCATTTGTAGGTCTGTGGGGTAGGGTACGTAGAGTACCTAGGATATGGCTAAGTAGACAGAGACTGCAGGATCTGGAATAGATGGAAGAATTAAATTGAGATGACAAGTGTCGAGTCAAGTGACTTAAAATCACCAGTTCACCCAGACCTGTTTCCTGGGCAGTGGAAATTTGTTTTACCAAGCCTCCGACAGTCCGGTACCGGCCTCTGGAAATTGGAACGTGTTACCGGGTTGAGGCTATTCGAAAAACTGGACCTGGGACCTTGTCCCACTTGCACCGTTTAGTTGAGGCAGCTCAACGGTGCGACAGCTAAAAAAATTCATTTTAATTCAATTTCAAATGAAAAAAGCATTTATAAATGGCAGAAATACAATTGTTCTCGTTTTTCATTTTTCACAATTGGAGTGGCATACGGGCACTTCCACAGCAGAAAATGAAGAGGTGCCCGAATCCCGTCCAAAAATGGCAAACGGAAGGAGGCTCGTACAGTTTCTCTTGAAAAACGCCTGTTGGAGGAACGAGACGGTCGTTGAACTCGCTGTCTCGAAAAAAGGAGACAGCTAGTTCAACGGAAAGTGGCGAGGGTAGGGGTAGTAGTATTCGAGAGAACGGATTTATTTCTGTTTTTTGTTGTAAGAAAAAGCGAAGATGGTCTTTAATGCCCTTTTTTATTAAAAACGGACCGTTAGATGAATTGGACGACGTGCATCTCCCTTGTTGCGTACAGTCACACAGGCTCGAAAACCCCACGTTGACCTAGCTCAACGGAGCTAGTGGGACAAGGTCCCTGACGTCCAGAAAAAAGATCGTCATGTTCTTTTTTCTTTTTTCTTTTTTACTTTCTGTATTGAGTGTTTCCACTTGTTGCCGGGGTGCCCCGACTACAGATCCTCTCAGTCGGGCACCAAACTCTGATTCATCACCGCGCCGCTTTCCGTTTTTCATTCGATTTTGCTCATCCTATCGATGGAAGTAGCAGCGTGAGGCCAGGCGCGGGGTTGGGGACTTACCTGTTGGCCAGTGTGTTGCTCATCCTATCGATGGAAATCTCTCTCTCTCTCTCTCTCTCTCTCTCTCTCTCTCTCTCTCTCTCTCTCTCTCTC